ATTTAACGAGTATTTAGGTTTGCTACAACAGGGAGAGTAAAAATGCGTGTTTTTTTTTGTAAAATGTTAATAGTTTAGAATGAATTTTCTAAATTTGATCAAAATATGTTCATAAACAAGCAAACTACAACAGTTTACTTATTCTCCATAAGAATAACATGGGAATTTTAAATTTCCAGTTTTTTGGATTTTTCTCCGTAACCATTAGGCGCATAATAACGCTTCAATACACTAAATTATTTCTTTTTTTTAAGCTCTACAAAATGGTATGGAAAGAAAATGTTAAATTTTAAGTTTTTAGGGTTTAAAATGGGAAAAGCTAATTTTTACCCCATAAAACCCCCTATAAACACCTGTTCCCATAGTTCGATCATGCTGGTTCGCGAAATCATTCGAATAAACGTAGGTTTTCACGTTTGTACTAAATTTCATCAAAATCGGATGAGTTTTGCTCGAGTTATCACGCTAACGGACACATATATAAATATATATATATATATATGAATTTGAACGGATGGTGTTTTTGGCCTCTAGGGACCTCAAAACGAAAAAGTAAAATCGGTCCCGGGTCCAGGTCTTACCATGAGTACTACGGTAATAGCTTATTCCCTATATGGGAAATTCGCTAAAAACTTAAACATTGTATATTTATGGCTGACAGTTTACTTCAGTTAACTATTTTAAAAGTTATTTGTGAAAAAAAATATCTTTACTATTGAACCAAATTATTCCCTAAATGTATAGTTGAATAACGCATGTTATATCAAAAATAAAATAATTAACAGTTGTTTTTGTAATTAATATAAAATTGCGTACTTTTTTCCAATCTACGCTTTTGGTATTTTTAACTAGTTTGTAAGGAAACAGTACAATACCTTGGTCTTGACCAGATCAACTTAAAAAATTTTGTTAGACACCATCATTTATTGATATATTTCTTTAGTTTAGTATACATTTCCATTTTCAAACTCATCCCAGTGGCCTTTCAGATAATTCTTGATTTTTCTGAATTCATTCCTATCTCAAACACAATCCTAGTTCTAAATTTTAATCATACATTAAATAAATATAACTTATGGGTAAAGAAGGAACATACAAAACTATAAACCTTTATACACTTATACGTTTACATTAGAACGGAATGATGTCTCATCGAATTAAAAAGATAAATATGAATATTAAATCTCTTTTCAAAAGCCTAATGCTCTTACAAGCATATCAGCCTTTGACTGAGGTCAAAGCAAAGCCCCATTGTCAAATCTCTTGTCGGGAATTCAATTACCATGCGCTGATGAATTTTCTGGATAAGGGTTGAAAAAAACTTGCAAAAAAATGTAAAAGAAGCATTGATAACTGTATTGCTATAAATATAAAAAGTAAGATTACGTTGACTGGGAATTAATTTTATACACTATATATAAAACTTGTAATTCGAAAAAAGCTTCTTACTCTTAACACCAATATTTGTTTAAATCATTACGTTTTGGAAGCTCTTTGATTCTAAATTTAGCTCCAAATAACTTTTAATTATTTACTTTCTATTTAAAGGCTTACTAAACTGTTCCATATTCTTTACACAACAAAAAATATCTTATATACACTTTAAAACTATTTTTTCGGTGGTAAAGCTTTAAATGAATTTAAATTCTACAGTCACTTAAGAGAAATATTGGTATGTCTTGTCTATAAAATTGCAGATATCCGTTGGTATATAAAATAAATAAATAAATAAAATGACTCAATGAGCCTTTTCTTAAGAGATTTGAAGTACATTGATATTCCCATATTTGATCTATAAAAGCTTTCTTTTAAATAATTACATAAATGTATATGAAACTAAATATTATTGTCTAACAAAAATGAATTGATAAAATAATTGTGTTTTAACAGGAAAAGTGAAAACCCTGCTAAGGGTATAGTTACAAAAATTGCATTAGACCAATTATTTGAAGAAAGTCTATGTACAAACACCTTAATATTATCAATTGTCGGACTTTATCGTAAAAGAATATACAAACGCGGCTAAAAGACAAATAAAATAGAATATAACCAAAGGTTACAGCTTAATGATTGTATATTTTGGTGTATCATAAACTCTATATTTGTTTGTTTGTTTATTAAATGAAATTGCTACTGTTTGCGTACAGTCGCAATTTCATATTACTTTAAACCAGCGTTTGAACCAGTGTTAAACCAGTGTACTTTAAACCCTTAACAAAGTTTTAAACAAGAAAACTTCATACGATTCCGCTCTAGCATTGTTATTTAGTATCATTGGAAATCATAACAAGAGGATTACGTGTTTTAAGATTAGGTTTGCGGATGGTTGGGAGTTAGGCTAAAGTCCAAAAGGAAAATAAATACGAGCTACATATACCATTACGGAAATTACAAATACAGTATGCGAGATACCTTTAATCCTGAGAATATGTGTTCTATCTTACTTAAAAAATGTAAACATAGAGAAGTAAGAAATATAGATTCCTTGAGATGTTGATAGTCTTTGGCTAACAAACCAGAAATTGCTGTTCCCAGCCTCTGAAATATCTTTCTTCTACAACTATCACAGGCTTGTCTAAATGACTTATACTGTAACAATACTTAACTGGCCGTAGTTCACCACATGAATCCCATAATTAACAATAGTATGTAGTGACAAGCATGTAAAAATTAGTGGTTGGAGAGTTGTATTAATAATGTTAACGATAAAAGACGTAAAATTAAAAATATTTTCTGGAACACAATACAGTTTTTTCCGGTACAATAAATAGAAATGATCCTTAATAGAAAAAATGAATGATAGACAGTGGCGGATATTTAAGGTACTATAGCAAATGAGCTGATTCGCAAATTAGCATTTACCTTGTTAAAAGTCTGTTTCCATTGAAGTCAACTTTTAAAGCTTCATACCATTCTTTTAATCGCATTTTGAATAACTGCCTGTTTCATTATTATAAGCATCGGAAGTTTCTTCATAATTCTTAAGCCTTTTGCAAGTTCATCGGTGTTTTAAAGTAAACACATAAAGACGAGGTAATTATTTTCAACGTTGAAATTGTGATAAACTTCAATGCTTCCAGACATTAAGTATATACATTAAGTATATACATCTATTAACATACATGTATATACACACATCGGCTGGATAATGTTAGATCCACATTAGAATTGTAAATGTTTAGTGTGCCCGAATCTTTTCAAATAACTGATTCTATAACTAATTAACATAATGCAATGTTTATCAGAAATGAGCTACCTTCTCAGGCTTGGCTTCATATTTCAGACATACCAACATAATTTGGAAAAGGTTAAAGGAACCTTTACCATTTTTCGTTATTTCCTCCTGCTTCGAATTGGTGTTGCTCATCAAGAGATCTGACTGAATACCTTTCAGTATAGGATCTATGCTATTTTAAATACAAACTAAGTATATCAAAATAATTAACTTGCCATTCAAACTTTAGATACAAGCAACAAAATACATTGTACGCTAATGCAATAACTCCTCTTTTGTAACATGAATCAAGCTTAAATGAAGTAACAACAAAACTTACTTGGATTAACTAGATTCTTAACTTCAAGATATTCTAATTTCAAACTTTAGAGTTTGTTGTTAACGTTTTAATTCAGTTACCTAAGTAATTTACAATGCCTCATCTTGACACTTAACAGTAAGAAGTTTCCTCGTTTACAGTTTGAGTTTATTAATTTAAAATTCGCTTCATAACATTTAAACATATTTAAATAACGCATACCACATACTTCAGAGATTGTTGTCTTCTAAATTAATAAAGGATTTGGATAGTGAAAACCTTCCAAGTATTCCAATAGAGTGTGGCGAAACTTTCACAACTAACGACTAATAAGCTAAAATTCGTAATGAGTACGCAATTGATTAGCAAAGGAGCTAAGGGGTCTGACCATAGTCTATGTATGATGGTTTGATTTGTGGTCAAGCCAATCCGATTGCTTATTTGCTTAAGATCGTATTAGCAAAGACGATAATGGTGAGATATTGGAAGTTAGTAATAAAATATCAAATTTAATGAATTAGTGTAGACATTGTCCAAGACGAGCCATACACGGTTGATGAATAGAATAGATTGAAGAACAATACTTAAACAAATTGAATTACAGGCAATTTTGATTAGTTCAAAATTGTAATTAAATTAATCTAAGTACTGTTTTGATATGGTATTTATTTATGTATGCAACTGATAAATAATCGGTAAAACACACATAATAATTTCCAAGACAAATTAGATGATATAAAAAGCCCCCAGTAATCCATTAACATATCACAAAAATTAAATAGGAACGTTTATTTTATGTAAATCTTAACTTTATCCCTACAGATAATTTACTTTTTTAAAACGAATTAGGGGAAAAATTATAACTTAAGGCTGAAACATCCACTTTACTATGGCTAAATTTTAAGTATTGTTTTATCGAAGCCCATCTAAACTTAAAGATATACGAAATTAATCATTGTCTTCTTTCCAGGGTTTTCACTTTTCTTTTGATACTACTGTATTTTGTTTTAATGCGGCAAAAAATAAGTTAAATTTCATTTAACGACAAATGCCGAACCAGCAGTTCCTAATATATTTATTGTCTAACAACACATAATCAATCTGCAATGGCTCCCCCTTTCATTTAAATTGTCATTTGCGTGGAATAGAATATATACATGGTGAATAGAAAATAAATAATCAACAATGCCAATTTAAGGTAAACCCAAAATATAACTAACTAATTTCTGTATAAAGAGGATACATTTCTTAGAATATTTCTTTTTACCGACTTAAAATACAAAAATAAATTCAAACCTCATGCTTAATACACCACCCTTGTATTAAATTAGGTCATGGCTTATGCAATAATTGATTCAAGATAGAGCTACAGATATAACCATCTATTGTGTCCTTGTATTGATCAATCTAGCGATACTATGCAGTTTGATTACTCTAACATAACTAGTACACAACTAAGTTACTCACGGGATATCTAGTATCAGACTCCACGAAGTTGTTATAAGATGCGATGATCTGAGAAATGTTGCAAGAACATATACCAGGGGGTCCCGGCGGTCCGCGCTCCCTTGGTCCACGTAGCTAGAAAAAACAAAAGTAAACATTTTAAATTTCTTAGATCTAAGAAAAAAAGTTAAAACTATAGGAGACATATTTCCCTCTCTTGGCATAATTTACGTATATTATTGTAAGGCTTTTAATAGAGGGGAACTCTATACAGAGAATGAGTGGACAACAGCTTATGTGCACCAAACTACCGATTCAGGGTGATATCACAAAGCTAAATTAATTGATAATTGAATGGTATTAAATTCGAGCCTCAAAAACAGAAGGGCAAAGGTCACACATAACACGGATCAGCTACACTAAACAATTATTTTTATGAATAATGAAAAAAATTTAAATCTGTCATTATATTAGAAGAAACGTTAAACTAAATAAGAAGACATAATCCCCTTCGTAATTGGTAACGTGGTCAGTTAAAATAATATCTTGAACTAAGTTTATTAGCGTAGTCCTTACACATGTGACCTTAACAAATACAGCCTAACCTTTTGAAAATATGTAAGTCCCTGACACTATACAGTATACACTACTAAAGATGACATGAAGAAATAATTGAGAAAATATCTGTCTGAAAACAAGTTTTGTTTGCAACTAACTAATAAAATACTAGTAACTTAGTTAATAGTACTACTAATACTAGCAACAATAATTTTTATTGGTGACAAACCTAAGTCCAACTAAAATTACAACATATTCACAATAATTAAACAATTGAAGTTAACAGATGAAATACTATTTCATCTAGTAATTAGTCATAAGTCAAAAGTTCTTCATTCCAAAATAACAAATAATACATTGTATTGGAAAGGTTATTAAATAAACAATAGTGTAAACCGAACATTTCTTGATCAAGATAATAATGTGTACAAAGACTACTAACTAAACTATTTGAATTCTGGTTAAATCGTTAATCCAACAGGAATGACTGACTACATGTCAGCTGAGAAATCACGAACGCTGTAACAAGCCTTTTCAACTATTGTGCACAACAATCATGAACACAACTAATATACTTGATTAAGCTCGCTATTGTCATGTAATACTAATAACAGAATTATTAGAAATTCCATATCGATATGAAATAATTTGGATAATGGACATTCAGTTAATACAAAGGGCTTCCATGTTTCAACAGCCAAGTTTAAATACCTGGCTTTTAATCATAAGTAACATTTGGTAACGTGCTAAATCAATCGACTCAAATAAATCCCCGATTTGTCTGCATCAATTATGAAAGTAGTCACTAGTTTGAGTATACTGTAGTATTAGATTTATTTCAAATACTCATAGTTAAGGGAAATACTCTAATCTCCAAAAATATAATTGAAACTATTAGTAGGATACATTATGCTTGTATTTTGATGCATTTAAGGAAAGGTTTTCTAGATTGATTGTTGAACACTTTATAAAGCTTGAACATTTATCAAGGTTAGCTGATGTAATGGAAAATCTCAGCACACGTAAACTAAGCTGTGTCCCAGAAAGGTTCTTGGAACTGATGGTAGCAACATGCTGAAAATGTTTATGAATAATATCACCTGCTGTTATTACACGGTAGATTTAAACTTGTTTTTGAGCGATTTTCGATAGAAAAATACAAACATTTTCAAACTTATGCTATGCGATGAGATTATTAAGTTTGGTATAGTGAAGTATCTTGAGACAATTTTATACATTCTGCGACTGCGCTAGGGAAATGGTGAAAAGAGCTTTATTCAGACTTCAAAATTACTCTAACTGAAATAAAATGTACAGACAAATATTTAAAAGTAAAAGTAAATCAAGATGTCACGACATAAAATGTATTTGCCTAGATGATAAAACTGATGCCGAAATGCCGTTCCCAAGTACAAAGAAGAATCAAAGAAGTCTTGAAAACATTTGGGTATTGAAATACTTTATGCATATGAGATTTAAGTCAAAGTCAACAAGGAAAAGTAGAGACTAAATAAACTAATTGAAGTGGATTTATTGATTTTAGCTCATAAAGATTCTTTTTATAATAATCCTATCTGAAAGGTTATTTAATGTGACATATGCACTGAAATTTGTTATACTCTAAGGCTAAATTTATTGTAAACAAAAAATTGGATCAATTTGATCCAAGTTAATGAAGTAAAGGTTTGTAATGTCTCCTTTTGCTTGTTTTATTTCACTTGCAATTTTAATAATTGAATGAGGGGGATTTATAACTCTACAATGTGTAAACATTTTTCCTTGTAATGAACTCACATTCAATTCACTGTAATGCCCAAGAAGAACAGCGCATAAATATAATTGAACAGGATCATGCCTTTACAAAATCATAAACAATTTATAATACAGTTAGAGTTAATTAAACTAATTTTTATACAATCCATTCTCCCAATACAGAGCTTCAGATAGTGTATAAAAGCTACTTTTTATGTCGAACTCTCCACATTCGGGTAACAAAGTGTCCATTAGCAAAGACTGATACTGGTTATACAGCGGGAACTCGCACCTGGACTAGTGCATTAGCCATCCGTACATTGTTTTGGACAACAGCCATAATACAACACTGTATAACAAGGGAGAAATAATAACAACGACGAGATTACTATTAGGGGAAGGTATCTTGATTTCCCAGCCATAAATGTTGTACAAAAACAATATATTTTGTTTTTCATATTATTAGTCAAAGAAGAAAACACTTTTCATATTATAAGTCCAACATAAAAAACAAATTAATTTATTTATTCATCTATGTACTCATTTATTCATACATTCAGTGATTCGTACATCACTAAATGATTGTATATCTTTAAATCCATTCATCTATTATTCATCTATTTCACCATAAGGATTATAGAGCATATAATACTCATCCATAAATGGCTTACGCGGACGAAAAGGGTCAATAAAAAAAGCTATATGAACTGTAAAATATTGTTTAGTGAATGGTATAAGTCTTGGTACGTATTTTTTGTGAGCTGCAGTAATAACATTAATCACAGTAGTTTACGTAGAAATCAAGAGGAAATAGATTTTTCTAGGAAATCTAGACCGACAAACCAGTTTGCAAAATAGTTCAAAACACGCCAAAAATAAGGTGTTTTACTGATCATTGTAAAAAAGTTACAGTTACTGTTTACTGTAATCGACTTTATGGATTAAATATATAAATCATATACAAATCATTGTAAAATCCATGCTTTTGAGTTTTATGGAAACGAATGAACTAAGATTTAATGGTTTTAACAATTCAACAATCACGTTTAGTAATTATTATACGTAAACCAATTCAACAACATTCAATTTTGTCAGAGACAAAAGAATGCGATGATACTTTAAGATGAGAAGAGCTTTATGATTCAATCGATTGCACTTTAGAGACCAACTGTAGAGTCAACTTGAGCACGTTTATATCTTTACAACTTTAGATAAATTCACTGAATTCTATATTTAGTAACGTTAAAAAATAAATTATTCTTTAGTTGGTGTTCCCTGACTGGAGATGACGCTGTAGTCTTTCACTTACACCCTATCAGTAGCGTTTCTATATTCAGTATTTTAAATTATTGTCTATTTAATGTACGACAAACATTGTAACATATTATTTAACATATTTTTAGCAGAAGAGCGTAACAGGACTGAAAAGCCTGGTGTATTTTTTTCAACCGAGACTAACTTCGAAAATAATGGTTTGAACGTTAAATAATGTGTCTGTAACTTCCGTTTTTTACTAACGAACATGCTTCAAACCATTACAAAATATATTCTAATGATTATGAGCTCAATGTTTCTAAATTAATGTATAATTAGCATTACAGTCGAAGACTATGCACTGCTATTCCACGTTGGTATATTTTACCATACAAAATTCCTGTAAGCTTTATTAACATTAATATTTATTAAAATACCCCCGCTGCAGCAAACCTGCCGACTAAGCGAATTTCGATTTGTCTGAATTGATTTTCAGTTAAATATATTTTAATAACATTAGGTTTAACGAGTACCTAGGTTTGCTGCTACAAGGAATCTAATAAAGTGTGTTTTTGAGTAAAATATTGATTGCTTAGTACAAAATTAATAAATTTGCCAAATTTGATCAAAAAATATCCATAAACAAGCAAACTACAACATTTGACAATATTCTCCATAAGAATAACATGGTAATTTTAAATTTACAATTTTTTTAATTTTCTAGGTAACTAATAATCGAACAGAAATACTTTTATATACAAAATTATTTATTTTTTTAAGCTCTTTAAAAAGGTCTTAAGAGGAATTGGGAAATTTTGTGTTTTGAGGGTCAAAAGTGAGAAAACCCAATTTTTACCCCATAAAACCCCCCGTAAAGCCCCGTTCCCATGGTCCGATCGTGCTGGTTCGCGATCTCATTCAAGTTTATCCCACTTTACACCTTTAAACCAAATTTCATCAAAATCGGACAAAAATTACTCAAGTTATCGCGTTCACGGACGTATATATATATATATAAATCTATATATATATATATATATATATATATATACATATATATAAAAATTTGAACGAATGGTGTTTTTGGCCTCTGGGGACATCAAAATGAAAAAGTAAATCGGTCTCGGGTTTAGGTCTTACCGTGCCACCTACGGTAATAGCTACTTCCTTATAGGGAAATTCGCTAAAATGTTATGCTTTATTCAATCCCTTTTTTGCTGGTATGCATTTACGTAGTTCGTATAACTTTCAGCATAATTCAGCTGGGATATTTAAAGAAAGTTCCACTTTGTCGGAGCCTTGCTTGTCCGCACATATGGTGCCATGTTCAGATTGTTCGTCTTTAACTACGCACTCGCATAAAAAACCGTTTATGAAGGGTTTAATTTAATAAGGGCCTTAGTGTGCATCTTTCTGAAAGTATAATTAATTTAACGTATAAAAAGTAATATATTCGTATTAAAAATTTTTAACTTGTAAAACCATGAATAAATACCCCAAGAGTGAAACAGTATATAGGATACGTAGTTCATTTTTTATTACTAAAATTATTACTAGAATACGTGTAGCTT